ACAGACTGGATTAAGAAAATGTGGCACATATACACCATGGAATACTATGTAGCCATAAAAAAGGATGAGTTCGTGTCCTTTGTAGGGACATGGATACAGCTGGAAGCCATCATTCTCAGCAAACTATCACAAGAACAGAAATCCAAATACCACATGTTCTCATTCATAAGTGGGAAGTGAACAATGAGATCACTTGGACACAGGAAGGGGAACATCACACATCAGATCCTATTGTGGGGAGGGAGTAGGGGGGAGGGATAGCATTAGGAGATATACCTAATGTAAATGACGAGTTAATGGGTGCAGCACACCAACATGGCACATGTGTACATATGTAACAAACCTGCACGTTGTGCACATGTATCCTAGAACTTAAAGTATAAAAAAAAATTGATTAAATTATAGCAAGTTTTTAAAAAGTTCTTTGTTTATTACTTCTAAATTGTTCTCAAGCAAATGTATATTCATTTACAGTTTAACAAAGAGAGTACGAAACTGCCATTCTTCTCTCCTCAAGAATCAATTTCCTTTAATTGTACACTTTTAATCTTAATGTGCATGGAATATAAAGAAATTATAGAGTAATTTATGATTAGTTTATTCAACATCTCTTGCTCTCCTACATAAATAAAATTAATTAAGAGTTCTATGTTAAAAATGCATATGATTTTTATTCTTTAAATATTATATTCTTTTTTGTTCTAAAAGAGATTTAAAATTTGTTGAAAAATATATAATAATCAACAAGACATGTTTAAAGTATTACTCAAAAAGGAAACAAAAGGCATATGGAATAACAGATATTACACTGTTTAACCTAGTCTGAGATTTTAGTATTAAAATTATTTTTAGTGATACTGACCATATACTATAAGTAGGAATATTTATGTCTAATAAATCTGTAAACTTTTTTTTATAAAACGTAATGTCACTGTAATCAGTTAGCTCTAAATGATCTGTCCTCATTGAGGAGGAATTTTCACTGTGTGATATTTTTAAAAAATAATTTTCAACTCATAAATGTACCAAATAGCTTCCAATATTCTTTTCCATAACAGTCGTCAAAGCTACTAAAAACAGAAACTTTCTAACTAGAACATGTTTTTTCTCACGATTTTTCAAGTGTGTATGTCATTTGGAAGACGTTGGAGTAATAAATACCTGAGAACTAGAAAGAAAAAAATTCAGGAATATAGAAATTCTATTGGAATAATAAACCAGTATAGGAAGAAGTAGATCTCAAAGTGAATCCTATTTTCTAACAAAATGAATGTTAAGATAAATATGTTTAATGGCAGATTGACTTTAAATTAAGAAGAAGAGAAGAGAAGAAATGTCGATATATTAAATAAAAAAATTAGGAAAGAATTAAGAAGACTCAAAGAGCATCATAGGAAAGAGTTAGAAGTGAAACAAGAACTTGAACACGCTCTCAGAATACAAGATATGGAATTGAAGAGTGTAACAAGTAATTTGAATCAGGTGAATCAATTTCTGGCAAAAAATTTATATTTCTAACTTTATTTCATCAGTATTACTTTTAATATCTCTTTGATTTAGTATGTATTATTCAGGTCCTGAAGGAAAATATTGTCTTAAAATTAACTATGACATTTGTAGCTACAGTTATTTATTATTAATTATGGCATCCAAATAGTATCTTATTTCAGTACAAAGAGCTTTTGAAAATAATGATAATCCCTACCATATACTTAGTGATAATTTATTGGTAAGAATTTTGTTCCTAGCAACATAGTTTAGTGTATTTTTCCAAGTTAACATTTAATACTGACTCAAACATTATCAAGAAGAGGCAAAAGTTATTGTCATAGTAAATAAGCTCATAGTATTCTAAGTAGGGCTCTCTAGATTGTATCTTCTTTACCACTTTTGTTTTGAAATAGAAGACTTCTTTTGTATTTACATATTTGCCCAGTAGAATTAACTGAGATTTGGTAAGGAAGTCCTGGATGTAGACTCAGAAGGCTTGGAGAAAATCCTACAACTTGTTTATATTTTTAATCTTTTCCTTGCCGAATTGTGAAAACTAAAAGTGCTTGTTACAATGTCTCAA